GGGTGAGTCCGCCCACCCCTCCCTGGTTCCCCTGATGCCTCGACAGCGTGGCCATCCTCACGGGTGAGTCCGCCCACCCCTCCCTGGTTCCCCTGCTGCCTCGACAGCGTGGCCATCCTCAGGGGTGAGTCTGCCCACCCCTCCGTAGCCCCTCCCCACTGTCAGGCTGGCAGGGCAGGGTCCATCCTCACAGCTTCCCTCCCTGAGCCCAGAGGCCAGCCTCTGCTGGGGTGGGACGGGGCGGGGGTCTCAGTACCTCACCTTCCCCAGGGGCTCCACGTCCCTCCCCTGGGACCCCTCTAACACAGCTCACCACGACCGCTAGTAGGTGGAGAGGGGGGCAGGAGGAAACCCCAAGTGCTGCTGGAGATGAGAGGAGATGGGACCTGGGCAAAGGTGTGGCCCCGCCTCAGGAGGCCCCTCCCAGAGCCTCTGGTGATGGCTGCCGTCTGGAAGTCTGACCTGGAGCTGGTCCCACACCAGGGAAATCCCCTGGAAAGCTGGGCTCAGTGCAGGATGCCTAGCAACAGCCTAGCCCATCACAGCTGCCCCCCAGGGGATGAGCCGAGCACCCCCCCACAAGTGACCCATTCTCCAAGAGCAGCCTGGCCAGCCGGCTCCCAGACAGGTACCGCTTGAGGTTGGAAAGCCCTCTCCACACACAAACATACACGCGTGCATGCACGCACACACACACCCACACACACACAGAGGCTCCATGGAAGTTCTGGATGGTTCCATCCCTGTATCGGCCGCGCTGAGGGAGCTTCTGTAAAACCCTCCCCTGAAGGAGCTGGAGGGCAGGATGGAGCTGGGCTCTTGGTCTCTCCTGGGACATGTGTCCTGCCAGCTGAGGTCTGGGGCCGCTGACGATACACCTGCCACAGGGCCCTTCCATGCCAGGGGCTGTGGCAGGTGCAGGGCGAGCGAGGAGGATGGAGACACCATCACAGCCCCTCCCTCACACAGCTATCGAATGTTCCTGTCCACCCACCCATTCGACACCCGTGTCCTGAGCACTCACGGTAATGGGCCTCTGAGGGTCCCATGTCAGGCTGCAGGGGGCCGGGGGTCTGTTGGTCACTTTAGCCAGGCTGCTCAAGGCAGACCCTCTGAGGAAGTTCCACATTAGCCCAGACCCGAGGGTATCCAGATGGTGCCAGTGCGTCAGGAGAGGGGCATGGGGCGAAGGCGCCGAGGCAGGGGTGAGCCCGGAGCGGGTGCTGACCGCAGCAGGCAGTGCCGGGGGCAGAGCGAGGGCAGGGGAGAGACGGGAGAGACGGGGCTACAAGATCAGCGGGGCTGCAAGATCAGCAGGGCTGACCAGAAGTTCGGGTTTTGCCTGCGCCTGCCACCTGTCGCCAGCTGCCCTTCCTGAGGCCACCGTAACAAAGCACCGCACACTAAGCGGCTGAAAACAACAGAAATTTATTCTCTCTCAGTTCCGGGGGCCAGAGGTCTGAACTTGGGGTGTTGGCAGAAGCGCATACCCTCTGAAGGCTTTAGAGGAAAATCCTTTCTGGTCTCTTCAGCCGCTGGCGGCCCACGCTCTCCTTGGGGGTGGGAGCATCACTCCGGTCTCCCCCTCTGTCTTGCCTGCGTGTGTCTCTGTGTCTCTTCTCTTTAATCAGGATGCCACTCACGTAGGATCAGGCCCCACCCTGCTCCAGTAGGAAACCCTGGTGGCGCAGTGGTTAAGTGCTACGGCTGCTAACTAAAAGGTCGGCGGTTCAAATCCACCAGGCGCTCCTTGGAAACCCTATGGGGCAGTTCCACTCTACCCTGTCCTATAGGGTCGCTAGGAGTCAGAATGACCTCGTGTGAACTTGACTAGTTATATCTGCAAAGACACTGTTTCCAAACAAGGTCACCTTCATGGGAACCAGGGTTAGGGCTTGTTTGGGTCTTTTGGGGACACCACCCCATGATGCTCATGTCTGAGGCTGTGAACCCACGGCCCCGTGCTCTGCCAGGGGGGCGCTCACGGTCTGAACCCGCGCACGGGTCCCCCCACCTGTGTTCTGTAGATGAGGAAACAGGCTTAGACAGGGGAAGGGACCCACCTAAGGCTCCTGGTAAGACAGGCGGGGACAGAGCTGATCCTTCTCGCTGGGCACCACAACCAAAGCCAATGGCAGTCCTTCTTCACAGCCACACAGATCAGGGGGCCGGGGGCGGGGGCTGCCGAATGGGGCCATGGACCTCTCCCTCCAGCACAATGTGTGACACCCCCAGCCGAGGACTGCGGACACCAGGGCTCCCTCCTAAAAGTCCCCATGCCCAACCATAGCCACTGCGGTAACCGCGGCCGCCACAGTAACTGCGGCCACAGCGGCGCTCGTCCATGCACATGCCGGGCCCTCTGCACGTCCACCTCATCCCCTTCCCCTCCGGCGTCCTTGAGGCAGCAAGCATCCCCGGGCTCCCTCCGTCCCCTCCCCTGGCTCTAAGGCACCCAGAGGGTTGGGAGGGGGCCCTGACAAGGGGGAAAGCTTGGGAGACAGAGGGTTGCTGGGGTGGGCGGGATCAGGGAGTGAGCTGCTCTGGAACCACCACCCCCACCCCCAGAAGCCCTCGCAGCCCTGTTCCTGGCTAGGGCAGGGAGCCGGGCCCTGGGAGGGTGCCTTGTACTCCCCGGACAGCTGTAAAAAGCCCAGAACTGCCATCCTCTCTCCTCTGCCGTCCCCACTCTCTCGGCCCCCAAATTTAACCCAGGGGTGATGGTTGGATCCAATGGTCTGCAGTTCTATAGCTCTCTGGTTCCCAGAGTTCACACATCACACACATCGCACGCACGCACGCGCACACGCACGCCTCACCAAGACACCCACAGGACCACTACAGACACAGAGGTGGGGGAGGCACACAGCCACACGACCACCAGACTCCCAGAGCCCCGCCCAGGGTCTCTGCCCTGTGACCACGCAGACCTGACGTGCCGAGCAGGGGACTCGGACACCCAGCACAGAGGGCAGCGCACACACCTGTAACCATGGGCACCGAGCCACCACCCTCCCTCCCTCTCCCCCAGACAGAACCCCACGCCATGGTGGCCGGACACTTGAGGAGAGAGGGGAGCGTGCTCAGGAGCCCAGGGGTACCCCCTCGCTGCTCCCCATCCCCTCCTGGTGTCCTCCCCCCACCTCCCCCCATTGCTCCTGCTCCCCCAGCCCCACTCCACAGCGGCTCTCAGCTGTCCAGTCCCGGCTCTGCTCCCTACCGCCCTGGTCAATCTGTCCCCGGCCCTCTCCCACTCCACCGGCGCCCCTCCATCCTGGTCTCTCTCTGGTACCTCAGTTTCTGACATCCCTCGGCCCCCACCTCTCAGCGTGCTCCCAACCCCGGGATTCCCGGCCTTGAAGGCATCTTCGAGCCGGAACCTGCAGTCGCCTCCGTGTGCCTCACTCCCATCAAACCCTTGCCCAACCTGCACTTTCTCCTTCTACACTTCCGCGCCACTGCCCTCGGGGGAGACCCAGGCCTTTCTGGGGTGACAAGCCCCCCCCCCACGTCACACTCCCTTTCACTGTCGAGCTCTGTGCCTGCTGGTCCTTAGCCTTCTGCTGAGCACATTCTTACCTGTCCTTTCAAGATCAGTGCAAATACTCCCTCTTCCAGGGAGCCTGCCGGATTAGATGCCTGGCCCTGAGCTCCCTTGGGGCTCCCCCTATCGTCTAATTACTGTGCCCAGGTTAGCCTACCCCACTGGGCTCTGAGCTAGAGGGCAGGCAGGGACGCTGTCGAGCTTACAGATGCAGCCTCTGTACCTGGCACTTGGTAGGCACTTCCGGCACATGCCCAGTAATGAGAGGTCAGGTGCATGTGTGGGAGGGTGGTGATTCCAGGCTGGGCAGCCACCCTCCAGGTACCAGCTGCCCTCCGTTTTCATCTCTTGGGATGGGAAGGGGCGGCATTCCCCTCCCCAACCCCCACAGGGCAGAAGGGTCTGGGAAGGAGGAAGAAGGGGCCCGGATCCCTGACCAGCATCAAACTGGGCTCGCCTGATACCTGGCTGTGCCCCTCCCAGCTCTCTCAGCCCCTCAGTCACCACGTGTCCTTTCTCCACGCACTGCCCTACCTGGAAGATTGGGGTATTTGTTCCCCTTTCTCCACAGCCAAGTCGGGATGGAGCCCCGGCCCCAGGTGACTATGGAGTGACACAGAATCGGGAGCCAGGGTTCAGGGGGAGCCTCTTGGCTTTGCCCACAGCCCCCTCAAGGTGGGCACAGGCATGAGAAGAGAGGAAGGATGGGCTGAGTGGGGAGGGGGGGGTGTCCCCACCCAGTAAGGGGCTGTGATGTTCTAGGACCCACAGTACAGGAAGTGCTGCTCGGTCATCTGCTGGGGACAGCAGTGTCATCGGGCAGCAGAGGCCAGAATGTGAGGACCCATCCTTCTGTGGGCAGCCTGGCTGCCACCCGCCACAGCCCAGCTGAGGCGACCCCAAGGCACGCCCGGGCAGGCTCCAGCCTCAGAACATCGGTGGTGTGGTGGCAACCCTGCTCTCCCGGCAGGTCCGCGCGGGCAGGAGTAGGTAGATTTCACCATGAGGATGGGGCTGAGCTGCCTGCATCTGCCCTGATTCCCTAGGTAGGGCAGGCAGGCTTGGGGGAGTGCCTCGAAGTGGGGGACACACACCTCTCTCGGCCCCCAGCCCCTCCCTTCTCACCCACCTCTCAGAGCCACCTGGCACCTCCGCAGGATGGAGCCCCAGTGCTAGCCCGTGCTGTCACCTGTGGGGGCGTGTAGGGGCGGGGAGCGCCTAGGGGGTGAGGATTTGCTTCAGAGGCTGTCAGGTCTGTGCACCTGGCCAAACTCTCCTGCCTCCCTCCTTGGGGAGGACAGAGCCCTATTGGAATTCACCCTACTCTGGCCAAGCAGTTGAGAGGGCGGGAAAGAAGCCAGGGGGAAACGAGGGGAGTGTGTGTGTGGAGAAGGGTCTGCAGAGACCGGGCAGAGTCTGCCGCCCATGCCCCTGGCCCCGGATTGTGCGCAGGAGCACCCGGGCGCCAACAGCTCACACTCAGCCTCCTCCCACGGGACGAGCAGGTTCCAGGGGGGCCACTCCCCGCCGCCACCAGGCTGCTGCCTCCACTCCCTAGCGGGAGGCCCCAGCTCCAGGGAGCCCCCTCAGCAGGCATTCTGATGGGAGGTACCCACAAACGGCCCCTGGAGTTGGGCCAGGGAGACAGCTGAGGCCCTAGGCATCTCTGTCCTCCGGGTCATCGAGGCCCCGGTCGCTGGCCTCTGAGGAACAGGGGAGGAAACGGCACTGGGGTCCCCGGGGTCTGAGTTCCGCCTTCACGTTCTGCCTCCTCTGGTGGGTGTGATCTTGGGCCTCAGCCCAGTGGTCTCTGTGCAGCCCATGGGCAGCCACAACCAGAAGCAGGAGCCCACTGTGCTTGTGGCCGGGGACAGGTCACACTTCATAGAGTCCACCTGTGCCCAGCAGTGTGGTCTGCTCTGAGCCCCCAGGCCATTCTTTCCCCACCCTGCCGAGAGCTGGGGGCGCTGTGTGCTGCCAGGCAGCTGATCTGAGCTGCAGGCCGCTCCAGCCGGGCTGGGGCCAGTGCTCCCCGCGAGTCTCCCTGGCTGGTGTCTTGTCTGAGCCTCATGACGATGCCATGCAGCTGGCAGGACAAGGCCCCTGAGGTCACAAGAGTGATGTGCTCCCTCCCCGTGGTCACACACAGGGTCCATGACATGCCAGGGACTCGAGCTCAGGTCTGTCCAGCCAGCAGAGGGGCTCCTTCTGCCGCACCTGTGGCTCAGGACACAGACACGTGTGGGAGGCGGCTGTGTGTAGCGCTGTCTTCACTGTGCCCGTGTGCTGCCTGTCCCCACGGTCCCCTGCCCTCGGCCGGCCTCTGTACCTCTGTCCTCTCCCGCGGGGCGGGCTGGAGCCAGAAGGGCGGCACAGATGCTCCTGCAGGCTGTGCCAATTCCAGGGGGTGATGTCATGCCGGGGGAGGGGCCCTCAGAAGCCCTTGCCTCCCGGTCCTGGCACCCCAGCCCAGCCCGGGGCTCCCAGCCAACTTGAGGCAGGGATTGCATCAGCATGAGGGGGGCAGGAAGGCCAGCAGCTGGGGAGGGCCTCTCCTCTCAGGGCTGTGTGAACCACATTCCTGTCAGAGACCCCCATGGCCTGGGAGCTGCCCCCTGCCTGGGCCCCAAGCCTCCCTGGCCAGCCACCACGGCCCCATTTATGGGCATTGCCAATAGCGTCCTCAGAGAGGCCAGCCCCTAATTAGCCTGTGGAGTAGCCTCAGAGTGGGCAGCGGCATGCACCCGCCGTGATCACAGCCGCCGTCCACATTCAGGACGCAGACCAGGTGAGTGGGCAGCCACCCTCCTGCATCCGGACACAGACCAGGTGCTCTGGCCAGAGGCTCAGTGGCTGTGCTCGGGCTCTGGGGTGCAGGCGGGGTGTGGCCGGCTTGCCTGCCCCAGTGGCCCCTGCTGACCACACCCTCCTCTGCCCCTCCTCTGCAGGGGGCTTCGCCACCTTCTCCTCCTGCTTCCCCGGCCTCTGCGAGGGCAAGCCGGCCGCCCTGCTGCCTATGAGCCTCTCCCAGCCCTGCCTGCCCGTGCCCAGCGTGGGCCTGACCCGCATCCTGCCTCACCTCTACCTGGGCTCTCAGAAAGATGTCCTGAACAAGGTGTGTGTCCCCCCAGGGGTTCTGCTGGGAGGAAGGGAGCTGGGGGTGGCAGTAGGGGATGGATACGGGTGGATGGGGCCAGAGGGGAACCCACGGGGTCCGGGCAGGACCAGAACAGGGCTTGGAGGAGAGCCCGCGTGAGTTGGGCTGGAGGCTTCCCCACCTCTCGGTGGAACAAGCATGCCAGACTGCTGATGTCACTGGGCCCCTGGCCAGCCCTGAAAGGATCCCGTGTTTTAAAAATGGTAAAGAGGGAAAAGGGTACAGGCACCGCCTAAGCATCAATAAATTCCTTCGAGCCTCCTGCAGGCTGTGGGTGGGGCTGCAGAGAACCACGGGTCCCCCTACCCCAGCGCAGGTCTTGTGGGCTCCTAGCCCAGCCCCTAGACACGCCAGGGACCAAGACCAAAGTCACTGGGGCTCCATGAGCCAGGCTTACCTAACGTGCTTCTGGGGTGCCTGCACCCCAAGATTCCAAGGTCCCACCCGGCTGCAGGGAAGAAGTCCCCCTCCTCCCTACCCCCTCTCCCAGGGCGTCTCTTTTTCCCACCACCTCTTCCCAACCTGTCCCTCTGACCCTCCAGGACTTGATGACCCAGAATGGAATAAGCTACGTCCTCAATGCCAGCAACTCGTGCCCCAAGCCAGACTTCATCTGCGAGAGCCATTTCATGCGCATCCCCGTCAATGACAACTACTGTGAAAAGCTGCTTCCCTGGCTGGACAAGTCCATCGAGTTCATTGGTGAGGGCGGGGGCCTGCCCGAGGAAGGGGAGAGGCGGTGCCATGTGTGCGTGCACGCTCGTGCGGCCAAGTCGGCATGTGTGTGTACACGTGTAGCTGGCGTGTGAACGACGTGTGTGTGTGTATGTGTAGCCAGCATCTGGACATGCGTGTGTGTAGCTAGCACGTGTATGCGCAGCTGATGTGTACATATGTGTGCCTGGCGTGTGTGTGCACACTTGTATGTGTGCATGTGTAGTTGGTGTGTGTGCACATGTGTGTGCAGCCAGCGTGTGTGAGTGTATGCAGCCAGCGTGTGTGTGCAGCCAGCGTGTGTGAGTGT